CTGTATTGCTATTTGAAGAAAATCCTCTAGCTTTTGTTGACCACTTGAATGAGGCTGCTTTTAAATACAGTATTCATTGGTGATATACTAACACATTTTGCATCCAGAGGTAACTTTGTTCTTGTAGGTGACAAAACACTTCCTTGACCACTTAAAGTAGATACAATATGTATGATATTTACCTAAATATCCTTCCTACCTCTATCGATGTTTCTCTAACATGAGTGGTCTCCATTTTCATTTCAGGAGCTTCATTTTGTCCTTTTTGTTTTCTTTTCATTGATAGAAAAGTAGAACACCACCACCAAAAAAAAAAAAAAAATCACTGAACTGAAGGAAAAACTAATTGGTTAGGATATGAGCTGGAGGCAAGTTCCCCCACTGGGCAGCATTTTCAGCTCAAAACATCAGATCAGAATTTTCCTGTAAAATTACATTATGTCCACTATTGCTTAAACTCCAAAAAACAAGAGGAAAACTATCATCTTAGCACATAAAGAAACTATTCAACATTTACAACAAATACAAAGAAGGAAAAACTAAGGTACAAGTAGTGTGATATTTACCTGAATATCCCTCCTATCTCTACCTAGGTTTCCATTATACTTAGTTCAATAAAGAAGGCATCTCTGCCCTCAAACTTTTCAGCCCTGCTAGCTAAATGCAATGCCAAATATATGGCTCTGTGAAAATGGCCATGGAAGAAGCGAGCTCAGGACACATTAGGATACTGCAGAGGAGCAGAGGGAATGGTGGACCTGGTAAACACCTTTAAGCACCTAGAGGCACAATGGAACAGCATTAGGGCAGTTCCTAGGATGGGTAATGTTGAAAAGATCCTTTTCACACATTTAATACACACTTACTGGATTTCTACTATAACACAACCATCTTCCTTAAACATAAGGCAAAGTCAAACTGAGTTCCTGCTTCTTAGGATCTCACGATCTGGTCAAGAGATATAATAACCATAGTTTAGTGTGACAAGTTCTAACAGAATAGATACAAAACTATGGAAACAGTGACTTTTCCCTTACTTCCTTTCCTATTCTCTTGAAGAAAGGTACAGGGAAAGCTGAGAAGAAGGTGACATGTAAAGTCAGTTCTGGAAAGATAGCGAGGAGTATATCAGGAAGAGAAAAGAAAGTGGAAACAGGAGGAATCAAAGCTATAAGGCATAAAACTGAATGGAGAGTTAAGTGACGATGCATACTAGTCCAGGGTGACTACAGAGGAATCAGACTATGACAGACAAGCCTGACAGGACAGTCCTGGGGTCAGTTATGCGAAGTCCTGCATATCCATATCAGGCTTCAAAAATTGATCTTTATTTCATAGGCAGAGGGGAGGTAGTTAAGGGCTACAATGAGTGATGGCATAAATTGGATCTCTTTTTTTTTTAATATCACGTTGGAGGTCCTAGAGGTTAAGCTTGGAGGGAGTGGAGTTGGACCCCAAAAGTGCACTTAGTAGAGACAGAGTGATAAGGGATAATGAGGTCTTTCTCTGGGGTACAGTGTAGTCTGTATTAGAGGGACACATGGCAGAGATATGGAGGTGCTAGTAACATTTTTTACCCAATAAAAAATCCAATTATACTCATCAAAATTATTTATTATGTTATGTATTTGGTATGTTCAGTACTTAGAGCAGTATAGAATATTATTGCCTCCAGTTTTTAAGGAACTCACAGTCTAGTTAGGAGTAAACTATGTGCATGAAAAATTAAATGGCATGCAATATATATTAAGTATCAAGTGGGTTTCATAGCAAATTGGAGCAATAACAATTAAGAGGAAAAGCCAGAAGATTGGTTATAGTTGTCAGGAGGTGGGAGTGAGGTTGGTCCTTACAGAAGGTAGAAGTTGGAGAGGTATAACCCTATTTCCCCATTCAAGGACACTGAGGGTGTGACTTGTGTGCATCTTTTGGATGGGGGGACACTATTCAATCCACTACAAAGTGAATGAAGGAATAAATGTCTTTATGATCTGACTCATATACCAACCCTAGAAGCTCTGATTTGTACTTCCAAAAGTAGCAAAATGAAATGCAGAAGTGAAGACTTTAGTCAGATGAACCTAGGTTCAGTCCTGGCTCTTTATTAGGTGAAAACGTGGTCAGCCATTTAACCTCTGTAAGCTTTGATTTGTTCATTTGTAAAATAGAGACTATATCATAAGACTGCTAAGAGAATTAAAGACATTGCCAGGCACACCACAGTCTCTAACTATCATTATTTGGAGAAAAAAGTTGGAAGATAATACAATTGGGAATGACTCACGTTAAAGTCGTGGTTGCATGAGTGAACTGGATCTCTTTTAAAAGGACAGAAATTGGCATCAAGAAGAATACTGGGTATCCTGTCAGTGATGGAGGTCAACAATGAGGAATCCAAGGGAAGATCATCTTCAGACAGCTAGCTAGTGGGGCACTTGGCCTCAAGAAAATCCATTATCAGGTATCTCAGTACCTAAGTGACTGAGATTGCAAAATCAAGGCAGGGATTGTAGTATTAGAAACTGGAATAACAGGCAGATTTCAATACATTTAATAATTTTCATTGCTTTGTCAGGCATTGGGGATAAAAGGATGAGACAAAGACCTTTAATACAATGCAATCTGAAGCATTACACAGGTTAGAAACAGAGTTAAGGACCAGAGCACCTAAAACAGCCCATGAGAGTCTCAGAAGGCTTTGAAGAGAATATAAAATTTGGATGGATTCTTGAGGATAAATAAAAAGCACATCTGCCAATGAAAAAGAGAAAGACTTTCCAAGCAGAGGAAAAAGAAAGCAAAGCATAGGAATTAAGAACTACCTTACTGGATTTGAAAACAGGAACCTAGGGTTAGTCAAAAGCCCAGTTAAATGAATTGATAAATGAGACCAGAACCAGACTACTAACACAGAGACACTGCTACCGCCCAGGGGCTTGGGTTATTATTTATAATCTTCTTGCCTAAAATGCATGTTTGTCCCAGAGACCAATACAGGAGCAAGCCTTGAGATGTGAGTCAGAGGGTTCCAGAATTTGACAAAGAATATATGCAGATTGATGACCAGATGGGCTTTCTCTGTTGTACAGAACATCAGCTTTATGCTGTGCCTATCCTTGAATTATTCATTTGATAAAGCAACAGTTTTGACATAAGCCACTCCATTTTTCAATATAAAGAGAATGGAATGACTCTACATCTTGTTTATACAAGTAAACTACAGTCTGCCAGCAACCATGATGTGCACACTGATTACTTTTGTCAATAAACAAGTATATCTGTAAATATATCAAATCATATCAGAAACACTAGACACGTGAACTTATTATCACCACAAATGTAACCTACTCGTCTGGGACTATAAAAGAGGGGCACACCAAAGCTGAGATGTGGGAGGCACACTGACCTGTTACCCAGTCACCTGTCATGAGCCTCATCCAGGAAAACTGCCAAGTGAAGGACCTCTGCCTCTGTCCCTGGCCTCCAGCCTAGGTGCAGTTTCTCCTGCCATGACACACAGTCCACTTCGAACTGATACCCATGACACCTGGGGCTGCATTTGACAAGTCTGTACCTTGAGTTCTGTTCTGTGCCTTGAGATTTGCACTTGCAGTTCTTAAAACTCATCTGGTTCCCTACAGAGACTTTTCTTTGCATCATATCAGCCCTCTGCCTCTGCCTTCAGTATAACTCCTCTAAACTACAGCCTCTTTCACCCTTTCATATTGGCAGAGCACCTGTCTAGCAAGCTCAAGGCCCTGAATTCAACCCCCAGTACCACACACACACACACACACACACACACACACACAGCCTTTTATTCATTCTGTAACCTATTGTGTGAATCGTAATGTGTAATCTGAGAGTTAATATTAGTGATTGCGATTGGAATATAGAACTTGTAGTGCCAGTGGCTTATGGCTATCAAGTGAACTCAGTAGTACTTAGCAAATTAAAGCCAATAAAATTGATGTAGTTTGTGGATTTATTCACTAAATTTTGACATGGTAGAAAAACACAAGCATGTCAGTCTACATTTATGATATAGCTTGCTCACAACATGACCTTAACCAAAATCAGGGAAGAGAATGGAAAAAGGTTAGGAGGCATTTATGTGACAGATTATCTAATTTAAACTTCACAATAAGCCTTTAATGTAAAGTTGGCAGAGCAGTGAGATAACCAGTCCAGTTATCAAAAAGCAAAACTGACAGAGTACCTGGAGAAAGGAATTTTCCTGCTGAGCTAGGTAGCTTGGGGCCTGATGGTGCTTTCTTGAAGTCCTTCACTGCATGAGGAAGAAACAACTCTTCAACCTTGGTTGTTCCTCTCTTCACTAAATTTTCTTTCATCTGAAAGAATTATTGGATTTTATTAAGGACAGAAAACAACAAATGTGTACTCAAGTCAGTTGTACCTGGTGTGCAGTAAATGTCTGTTAAATTAGGTCCTAAGGATATACGTGCTCAACACGATTTCCCACCCTGTATGGACAATCCCCTACCATAGAAGCCCCAGATTTCCTAGGCCCTTCACAGTTAAGAAGCAGCTCTAAAGCCACTTGGTGTCCTCTCTGGGGGGCTGTTTTCAAGATTTTAGCGGCCTATTCAACAGCTGTTAACTTCTGCCCGCGTTACACCGCCCCTTGCCTGCCCAGGAGTACCCTGGGTGTAGCCCCTTCGCACCGTAGCCAGGGAGGTCCTGGCCTGTGAGGCAAGGAGGGCGTCGCAGCTCGGGATGGCATTAGCCCTCCATGATGGGGTGGTGAAAGCGGAGAGGGGTGTCCTGTACTTTCAGGTGCCCTTTCTGGGGGTGATGACCGGGGGGCTCGTGGAATCGCTGACTACCCTTGGCGGCTGCGCAGTTTACGGTCCCGCGCGCCAGCAACCCCCGCGGGGCTCTGAACTCCTCCCCCAGGGCGGGGCGGGGGCGGAGCCAGGGCCTGGTGTGAGCCCCGCCTCCAGCGCGGCGCAGGCGCAGATGTGGGGCGAGGCCGGGCGGGGAAGGCGCGGTGCGGCGCACTCCGGGCGCGGGAAGATGGCGGCGGCAGCGGCGGCGACGGCGGCTGCCGAGCAGGTCTGTGAGTCCCGCCGCGGCCGAGGGCTGGAGGAGCAGGGGAGGCCGGGTCCTGCCGGTGGAACCGCGGTAGGCGCCTGGGTCAGGGCGCGAGGGCCAGCGGCGGCCCAGCTCACGGGGCGGGGCGGGGCAGGGCGGCGGGAGTTGTCCGCAGCCGGGATGCTGGCCAAGGCCGGGCGGCACCCCAGGCAGGAGCTACCCGGCCCGGGAGAGCGAGACAGCCAGCCGCGGCCCTCTGCCTGGCCCCACCATCCCTCGGCGGGACTGGACAGCGGTCACTCACTGTCCTGAGGGGCCGGGAGGTGACGGTGCCCGCCGGGACGTGCCCCGCTTCGCTGCCAGCAAAGATGCGGATAAAAATAACCTCAGCCCGGCCTGAGGCTCCCCTGACACCCGCCAAGAAATGGTCATCTGTTGTCTGGGTGTGCGGTTGTGTTCACGTCGTGTTTTTGCCATCCTCTATATGCAGACATCCCAGATTTCCCCTCCTGCTTTGTGCGTTGCAGATTTAGTCACCAGTATAAAACTCTTGAGCAGTGGGTTTTAAATCACCTTTTAAATGCATTATCAAGTGTTTCCTGATTGTGTTGTAAACTTGTAACTTGGAATAGTTTAAAAGCTATCCCCTCCAATCAAGGTATACTAATGCACATGCATTCGTGCATCTCTGTGTGTGAATTTGAGTATGTACATGTCTATACAGATAGAGTGGTTTGTTATAATAAAAATAGTTTTCAGAGACACTTCTCATCTCTTGTCCCTCTATAAAAATAACTGATACGATGCTTTCTGTTGAAAAGGCCTCATTCTTTAACACTGTTGAGAAAAGTAAATGAGCTATGTTGCCAACATTCTTTTTGACTTTTGGAATATTTTCTTAGGTGATTGACGTTTTGGAGACCTGTTATTGTATGTTCCAGGAGAACTCATTCTAAGGGACAGAAAAAATGACATGAATTCTGCCTTTAAGGACCTTGAAATCGAACTACAAAATAGATGCAGAAAAATCAGCTGAAGACAATAGGCAAACTGTAGAATTACAACCATAAAACATAAAGCAATGAGTGAAACCCAAAGGAGACAAAGCCTGGAGTTGTTCAAATTAAAATTGCTCCTTGGCTTCTCTGGTTTCTCTTCTAACTTAATCAACATCTGTGTCAGATGATTCCTATACTATCTATGTCATACCTGTTGAGTTCTTGGGAGTCTTGAGGTTTTGTTCATGCTGTACACATAAGCTTGGCAACACAATCCATTCCTCAAACTCCACTTCAAATCAATGCATTTAGGTCTTCAACCTTGACGTTCCACAGTCACCTGAGACTCAAATATGTTCAAAATTGGGACTGCATGCTATTTACTATTAAAGGGCTACAACAGCCAGGTGTGGTGGTGTACACCTGTAAGCCCAACTAGTCAGGGGGTATAGGTAAGAAGATGATAGCCAGGCAAAAAGCATGAGACCCTATCTGAAAAATAACAAAAGCAAAAGGGACTAGAGGTGTGGCTCAAGTGGAAGAGTGCCTGCTTAACAAGTATGAGGCCCTGAGTTCAAATACCAATACCCTAAAACCCCCCAAAGAAAGCTGGTGGGGGGATGCTACAGCAATCCATTTACTTAGTTAATCTAGTCAGAAACTTAGGAGCAGGGCTGGCTTAGGGAGCCCAGAAGAAATCCATATTGGATGTTTGAACAAGGAGCGCCACATTTATTTTTGCTCTGGACTCCACAAATTGTGTAGCTGATCCTGCTTGGAAGTCATCTTAGACCTCTCTGTGTCACACTCACATCCAGTCATTTTAAGTCTTCCCAGTCTTTCCATTGCCAAAGTCAAGGCTCAGAGGAAGTCAAAGTCACTGTCAGAGGAAGCTCCTGCTTTGCTATTCCAGTGCAGCTCATTTTTGGCATTTGCTTTAGTGTAACTCTAACTTGTATCACTAACCTTTTTAAATTCTCCAGTAGTTCCCAGTGCCTTCAGCACAAAGTCCATCCTTCTTGCAGTGGTACTTACTGTCATTTACTGGGCCCTAAGCACATCTCTCACATTTTTGACTCATTCCTATATCTGTCCTCTCCATTCACTACCAAAATTATTTTCCCCAGAGACAACTTCTACTCATGGTATTCATGCTGTTCCCTTTGCCTAGAATACCCTTTGTACTCTTGCCCGGCTAATTCCTATCCATCCTTCAACATTCAACTCAAACCTCAGCTTGTCTTAGAAACTGTCACTGTGGGAAGCTCCTACCCCTTAATAGGGTTACATTTCTCTTCTCTTTTGGTGTATGCACTGCTTTTCCACAGCATTTACATTGCACTGTAATTGCTAGTGACCTTGTCTTACCCCACCAGCCTGTAAATAAGCTTCTTGAAGAATGGCCTTATGTCTTATCAGTTTGGAGTCCCTGACATGCGACAACTATTCAGTAAATATTAAATTCATCAAATTGAAGATAATGAATGTGAATTGGTGGAGAAAGTAAAGGATGTCACCCAGGATAATTTTATATGAACCTACATTCAAACTCTGCTTAAGACTTTTAAGTTGCTTGCCTATTAAGGCTGTCACAAGACCATACTGTGTCTATGTAAATTAGAAGAGAACACCTTTTTCTTAAAAGTATTTTACTGCTTTTGCCTGAAAAATAATCTAAGTATATATGTACCTCTAGACAGTCTGCAGTATCATGTATCCTCTTAAATGTTGCAGCCTCACACAGTACACAATTTACACAACTGTTTTCAGCAATCTGTTTTATTATAAAATTGTAGAGTAGATTGTGGTTAGAGCCTTCCCAACCACTCTGAAAATTTTAAGTTTTTATCTGCCACATTACTCAAAATGGTCTTTTTCCATTTTCCATAAGCCTTCAGTCTACTGCTCATGCTACTACACTGAGATTACAGTTACCTTCTCCACTATTTCTTAGCGGAGTGGCCTTGCCTTTTACATCCATTGGAAAAAGAATGTTTCCCTTACTTGATGTTAATCTTTTCCATCAAGTTTCACATGAAATGGAACCCTACCCTTTAGGATTATTCTTTTCTCTAGTGTTCTAGATTGCTTTCTTTCCTGCCTTCTGAAAGGTCTTGTTTCCCACTTATGCTCTTCTGGCTCTGAGAGCTTTGGTTTTTGCTGCCGTGTTAGGCAGCTTTCTGTTATAACAAATACCAGAGATGATAAGCTTATAAGAAAAAATGGTTATTTGGCTCACAGTTTCAGAAGTTCCAGTCCAATACCAGTTGCCCCATTCCTTTTAGGCCTCAGGTGAGGTAGCACGCCATGATGGGATTGCATGCATGATGGAACAAAATTGCTCACCTTGTGGCCAGAAGTGAGAGAAAAAGGAAGGGGCCAGAAACCTGCCCGTAATCACTTAAAAGACCTCCCTCTAGAGCCCACCTTAAAAGCCTTCTCCACCTGCCAATATTGGTAAGCTGGGGACCAAACCTTTCCCACCTGGACATTTAGGGGACACCTAAGCTCCAAACTGTTAACAATTGCCCTTGGCTTTTTCCCCCTCTGCTGTCAAACATACAGACATTTCCCCAAGTTGGGAGAGGGGGGAAGAGACTAAAACATACCTTTCCTCTAACAATTCATAATTCTTTAGCTATAATTTTCTCCCTTTTTCATCCTTTTGAACTTGAAAATAGATACATGCTTATGGGCATCTTTTCAGGACTGTCTGTTCTCTCCTTATCAATTTGCTACTCAAGATTTATCTTTGAAGGTCAGTCACTAAGACACTTTTTGAAAAGATCAACAATAGTACACATCCTTGGCTTTCTTATTGTATCTCATTTTCCAGTTTTCCCACACATTTAGTTTCCCAAAACTACACTGCATCCTTAGCTCTTATCTTCCTTCAATACTGTTTTTCACAGTGAACCGAGGTGGTCTTATAGTTTTAATTACCTGTAGGTTGAGGACTCTCAAATCTGTATGCCAGCCCTGAATGACCTTATATGTAGTCTCAAGGTTCCAGTTGTCTTCCAGGCACATAGTATTTTTTATTTAATTCAAATGTGACTGTGTAGATTCTTCTCTCTTCTTCATTCCTCTTAACTAATCACTGTTCAGTAAAAATAAGGTGTTTTTTTTTTTTGGATATCACTATAGATTTCTCTTAAATCTTCTTTTTTATTCCATCTTAGTTAGTCCCTCCTTACCTCAAACCCCCATTACCACAACATCCCCAATAGCCTATTTACTGATATTCCTCTGCCCTAACCTACAAATGCCCATCTAAAATTTAACTGCTGAGCATATGTCATTCCTGCTCAAAAACCTTCCAATTAAACAGAACATAAAGATTAGAGTCTGTACTCTGATATCTAAGTATAACCAGATTTCTACAACACAGGCCCAACTCCGGGGGTTCCACATGTTTAGTTCAGCTGTTCAGCCAACACACCATATAAAGAGATGAGTAGTAGTGAAGGGCAAAGAAAGGAGATTTCTTAGCAGTGCAGTCATGCTGTGGGAAGAAGCAAAGTAAGTACTTCAGCTCATGTTCTAGGATACAGACATGAGCATTAGATTTAAACATGAAAGAATTGGGGCAGAGGGCAAAAGGTATGCATAATTATTAAAGAGCAAAGTCGTTACTTGAGGGGAGCAATCTGGTCATAAGTTATTTTTGCCTGGTGGGTAGTCTGTCCTGCTGAGACTGTGTTGTTCCTTTCCTTAGGATAGTTTATTTTGTCCCTCTTATCCCTCCTTGTAAAGATGTTAAATCTGTCCTGCCCGTCCTTGGCCTTCCAAGGATGGCTGCAAGGTGAGAAATGCAGAGAGAAATATGTCAAAGCAAAGAAGATGCAAAATGGAGGTAGAGATGAAAGCTTTTCTTCTCCCTTAGGTAAATTAAACTTTGGACATTTGCAGGCCCAAGAGAGGAGTCAGAGCTTTTAGCAAAAGTAGTTCAAACGTATCTATTGTATAAGAACTTTCTCAACTTGGCCTCACTTTTCCAGTTTTATTCTCCCAGCATTGCCAGATCTAACCCACTTACTTTTCCCTGTTTCCCTAAAACTCCAGGTCATCCTGACTCTTCCATTTAAACTCTGCAGCATGTTTTGTCTATGTTGTTTATTCTGGCATCTGAATATACAGAGTGCTTTATTACATTATTTTACATTCACAAATCAGATCTGTAATACTTAATGGATAAGGATCCTGTCCTCTGTTTTTTGTGTTCCAATATATGGTATTAGTGTCTAAGCATAATTATGTACACCTTCAATAACTGAGTTTTCTCAGAGCTCTGAAAAATATGTAAGTTAGGCAGTATCCATTTCTTCCCATTTGTTTTGTGCTTGTGTTATATAAGTTTATTACCTAATACGACATTCAACCAGAGTTTAGGTGAGAGGTTCTCATTTTTTGGTCCCAGCTTCTCTTTATACTCTTAAAAGCTACTGAGAATCTCAAAGAGCTTTGCTTATGTGGTTATATCCATTGGTATTTACCATATTAGCAATTAAAACTGAAAAAATTCAAAAACAGGTATATTCAAGCAAGCATTCCATTAGCCCTTAGAGTAATGATATCATGACATATGGTCATATAGCATTATTCTGAAAATGTGTCTGTTGTTCCAACCCTGAAAGTGTTCACTTGACGCTCCTCCCCCTCCACACACACAACTCCCCAGTCCACACTTTATTCAGTGGATTTATAAGTAGCAAACTATGTCAGCCATATTCAAAGCAGAAAGAGAAATATGCTACCAAATAGTTGCCCTGCAGGTTTTTGTGTGCAATCCCTCATAAGTAAAGTCTTTACTTAAAGCCCACAACTCAGTGTGACTTGCAGGTTATTAGTGAAACATATCAGTAACCAGTTCAGCTTTGTTTAATTAGGAATTTGATCTTAATAAGTACATCAAAAATGTATAATTGTTCAATTGCTTTTCATTTTCAGCAAAGTTCCAATGGGCCTGTAAAGAAATCCATGCGTGAGAAGGCTGTGGAGAGAAGAAACGTTAATAAAGAGCACAATAGTAACTTTAAAGCTGGATATATTCCAATTGATGAAGATCGTCTTCATAAAACGGGATTGAGGGGGAGAAAGGGCAGTTTAGCCATCTGTGTGGTTATCCTCTTGTTTATCCTAGCTGTCATCAATTTAATTGTGAGTATCCGATGCAGAATACTCTTTTTAATTACCATGGGGAATTTTTCATCTTTTTTACAATGATATCATGAACTTTGTTTCTGTAATTTCTTTTGGTGCTGTCTTATTTTCTGCTTTTATATACATTTTTTGTCTTCTATAGGATTTTGTCTTCTATTTGGATTTTAGTTAATACTTTTTGTATTAAACAAAAACCTAGTAAACTTTGATCTCAAGCACTGCAAAAATAAATGAATAGATCATAAAATTTTAAAATTCTAGTAGGCTGATATTCTCACAGATTAATCTTACTTAGAAAAAATGTTGATGTTCCCATTAAAGGACTTAACTTTTAATGAAGGCAGAGTCAACTCAATAGAGGAGAATTTTGCCATGCTTTCATTCAGCATTTTTTATACTTTGTTTTGCCTCCTCAGCTAGATTTTAAAATTATAAACTCTTTGATGGCAGTAAAAGTTTGTATTTTGTGGTCCTAAGTCCCTGTTGTCAAGAATGAAAGTATCTCATAGGCTAGGGAGCTGGCATAAGAAGAGGATTTTTAATTTCAGATTGTGACTCTCTAAAGGATATGTTTGAAACCCTCTGTTATGTGTGTAAATGGATATTTTTAGAGAGTGATTATTGGTAAATCTAAGACTGCTTGTGAACACAGAACTTTGAAAGTTTCAAACTGCAGTTTGAATCTAACCAGCAAGCAGGCAGCTTGCCCTCCTAAGCCCACCTAAAACTTTAAAAATTCCATTTATGTTATTTTTTTCTTCTGATGATCTCCAGCAGTTTTGTATTTTATGTACAGCCAAAACGCTTTTTGTCTGATTCTTCATTAAAGTCAGCAAGAGCTGGTATTAACACATATTATAGTGGGTACCATTAATAGCTTTACTAGGAGTACATATTCTGAATTTATTTAATCTTACAAATTAGTTTTGTTGGAGACTTTTGGTTAAGATGGCAGAATAAAGATGTTTCTATCCTCTCTCTTAAAAAGCTCATTCCAAAGTGACAATGTCAGGAAACACAAATATCTTTGAAGAGAATGTGGAAAACTGCTGAAGTCCTGAACCATGATGTATGATGACTACAGAAGAATGGCAAATAATTTCTCAGAGAGCGGAGACTGTGTGTGTGTGTGTGTGTGTGTGTGTGTTGTAGTAGCAAGATGTCTGGGCCACTCCACTTTCAGTTAGGCCACTTCTCCTCCTAACCTCACCCCAAATCAGTGTGAATTTGGATGCCCTATACCAGGCAAGGTTCTTTCTGCTGGTTTCCTTTATTCAAAGGTGGGTACCATGGCTTTCCATCCTAAAAGCAGGGCAGTCTGAATGCTGAACACTTAGGCTCCTAACCCCCCTCCCTTGTCCTTCTCTATCTCCAGCTTCTCTGGTCGCATGCAAGAGATAGAAGAGCCCTCTCTGGGGAACTGAAGTACCTAGAGAAAAGAAGTGAGATTATAACATTTTAGCAGGTCCCAGTGAAAAAGTCCATTGTTCTCTCTATGGTGAAGCCTGCAAGTCATAACCACCATTCCACATACAGAACTTTATGTGGACCTTTTACATCCTCACTGTTAAGTATGAACACTAAGCAAGGAAGGGGTTCATAGATTTTTGAGGAAAGCTATAAAGGTTGAAAATGATAAGAGAGCAAAACACTTAAACCATGGGCAAAGTGAAACTCGAGGTAAAGAAAATGCAAAGATCGACAGAAAATCTAGTCAACACCTTCAGAGAAAGAGGAGGGAATTTTATCCAAGAAATAAGAATAGCATGCCATTTAAAAGGAATGTTTAAAGAATAAGGAAGAATTCATAGAAATAAACACACAGGAGGATGAATGAGATGGATGAATATTGGAAAATAAATAAAAGCAGCTCTTCCAGAAAGTTCATCAAAGTTAAAGAATCAATCTGGGATCTTTCTCTTAATAGGAAATTCAGAAAGTGAGGCTAGAGAAAACACTGGAGAGAAAGTTACCAAAAAAAAAAAAAAAATCAAAAATTCTGTAGAGCAGATTGGGGAAAAAAAAAAGACATTCAGGCCATTACTGTGAAATTTAAGAAAACCAAGAATAAAAAAAGATTCCAAAATCTAGAAATGGGAAAAACTGGTTGTGTTTAAAGAATACAAAATCAGATTGGTATTGGACTTCTCAAATGTAGCATTGGAAACTAGAAGACCCTAAAGCCAAAGTTCAGAAAGAACAATTTCAAGCCTAGAAATTTATATTTAGCCAGACTGTCAGTCAAATGTGAGGGATTATGAAAAGACATTTTTGCCATGCACATACTCCAAAAATTTTCTCTTCTCTTACATTGTTTCTAAGCCACTGTTACCAAAAGAAAGCACTAAACCAAGAAAGTTAAAGACAGATACAGGAAGCTGGTATCTCCCATAGGAGAAAGACCAAAGAAAATTCCAGCGTGGAAGTGAAGGGAAAGTTCACAGTTACAGAGGCCCAGAGACTAATCAGCCCAGATTGGAGCAGGAAGGTTCCAGAAAGATTTCCCCAAAAAAGAAAAACATTATTTGAGAAGCTTGAACTTACAAAACATTTTATGGAGAGATTTACAAAACTATTGGAGAGTTTGAAATTTAGTTAGATTCTTAAGCAAAAAAAATTAAAGTATTAAACTCTCAGAGATACAGAGCTCAAAAAAGGAACTACAGTCATAGTTTGGTGTTTGTTTTAGCAGCAAAGAACATTTACAAGACCATAATACTGAAAATACACAACATGGATATAACCAAAACTTGAGGTTGGTATTCGGAAAGAAGAGGTATAAGCTAAAGTTTTCACCGGCTAAGATAAGAAATTAATAGATAAAACCTAAACTTGACATTATAAAAATGAAGAAATAACATTATACATCCGTTATTTAGAAATATGGAGACAAATGAATACAATAGCTAAAGTAGATAGATAGACAAAATAGCTAAAATTGTTGAAAGTGGTTGCCCCTGGAGAACAAGATGTGGAGAGGGTAGAAAAAATAAGAGACTGCTCTTTATTACAGACCTTTTAGCACATTACTCTTAGCTATTTTTATTTAATACCTTGATAAAAATGAAAATGTTTTATAAGTAGATAACTAATTGATAATGTTCATCTCACTGATTAGACATTTCTGGATGGTTTTAATGTTTCAGCAGTGATCTTTTCTAGTTGTTTTCCAGGTGTCAAGTGTGTGCCGCCTATTAACTGTGGGCTTGTGCTCTTTTTCAGATAACACTTGTTATATGGGCTGTGATTCGCATTGGACCAAATGGCTGTGACAGCATGGAGTTTCATGAAAGTGGTCTACTTCGATTTAAGCAAGTATCTGACATGGGAGTTATTCATCCTCTTTATAAGAGTACAGTAGGAGGAAGGCGAAATGAAAATTTGGTCATCACTGGCAACAATCAGCCTGTAAGTCACCACATTAACTGAAATGTGGTGTGAATGGGAGAGGGGTATTAGAGAATAAGTCTTTGCAAAACCTAGAGTTGATTACTGGAAATAGATGTCTTCTTCACAAAAGTATTAATGGATTCATTATATGTATTTATAAATGTACTCTATATTCATAAATATTCAACATTTAATATTGTTGATTTTATAATCTATTAAACTTAGGTGCTTTGTTAATATTCTAAATGATATTCAGTGGTAGCATTAATAGATATAGTTACTTAAAATTGGTTAGATTACCCTTTTACCTCCTATGAGGAAACCATTAAAAAAGCACCTTCCCTGATTAGAAAACTATGTGTTTTCTGGGAATCTGGAAGAGAATATGCCACTCTACTCAGTGAGAAGACAGGCCAAGTGACTGTGGTCACATAGGCTTTTAACTGAGTAAAACCTTCTCGCCATCTTAGGCCTTGGCCTGTGTTAGCTATGACCAGTATTTTTGTACAGCTATGTCACAAGTAAATGCATACACCTTCACTTTAAAGAACTATTCTCTAAAGTAAATGAAGACAGGATGGTGCAAGAGTATTTGCAGTCAGTTTACTGTTGTAATTTTTTAAAATAATGTTCTTCATGAATTTTGGTTGCAGTATTCTTTGAAAACATACTCACAATAAAATATTCTTTGAAGATTGTTTTTCAGCAAGGGACAACAAAGCTCAGTGTAGAAAAGAACAAAACTTCTATTACAAGTGACATTGGCATGCAGTTTTTTGACCCAAGGACTCAAAATATCTTATTCAGCACTGATTATGAAACTCATGAGTTTCATTTGCCAAGTGGAGTGAAAAGTTTGAACGTGCAGAAAGCATCTACTGAAAGGGTATGATTTATTTTCTTCACTTTACTAATAAGAGAGAATTATAGCCTAAAGTTATAAAGTAGGAGAAAAGTTTTACAATTTTACAGTTGTTATGAAAGGATGCATTCCAGAACCAGAAAGGGTTAATTCAAGATCCCTCATTAGCTAGCTTGTGTGAGCATTATCAAGTGCTCTCTTTATATCACTTTCCATGTCTATAAAAATTTCCTTTCAAAGCTCCTGGTTAAAACTCCTATTTTTGTGTTTGTAGTAATAATCCACATGTTAATTTAGAAACTCCATTCAGTACTTATTTTTTAATTTTTAGATTACCAGCAATGCTACCAGTGATTTAAATATAAAAGTTGATGGGCGTGCTATTGTGCGTGGAAATGAAGGAGTGTTCATTATGGGAAAAACCATTGAATTTCACATGGGTGGAAATATGGAGTTAAAGGCTGTAAGTATATTTTTAAGAATTTAAGAGAAATATTAAGTTCTTGGATGAATAACTCCATGTGTGGAATAGTACACATTATTAAAAATGATTTAATTATATTTTTTATTGTGGAGAGATATTCAAAATGTATTGTGAAGAAAAAAAGTTAAAAAACAATTCATGCAATATCTAACTTTTTATTTTTCAGCGGTATGTATATTTATAAAAACCTGAAAGAATTAAGTCAGAATACCAACAATGTTTAGCTACGGGGAGTATCAGGATGACAGATGACTGAATTTTATTTTTACTTCTGCTAGTTTGTATTAAAATTTTTTGTGTTATTTTGAAAGATATAAAACAAACCTTGTTAAAGAGAATTCTGGAAGGTCAAAATATCCATGCCCTGAAATTGTTGTTTTAATTAAGATTCTTCATATTTCCTGAGTTTCAAATCTAAGTGATGTGAAAAAACAATTAGTAAATATGTAAAACGTATTTTTATTTAGACATCTGTTATTAACTGCAAAGGAAAAATATTTTTGCCTTTATTGTCACTGTTGAAAGTGAAATATTCTTCGTGCTTCACAGATTACATCTGAACTTTAGCAGTTATCATACATATACAGGAGGCATATGTTCAAAAATTTTACACCAGCTCACAATTCTGGTCAGAACGTACTTGCTCAAAATGCTGTTCTTTGAACATTTGCTATATACTACTTAAATAAAGCTAATTAAATTTGTCTTACCAAGCATTACAAAATATTGTTAGCTATAGTCATCCTGTGTAACAGAACACTAGAATTTATTGCTTAAGAAATAATTTAAAGAAAATAAAATTAAATAGCCACAAGATGGCAGCATTGGAATAAATATTGAAAAGTCTCTTAAGAATTACATTTATTCTGTATACAGATTGAGCATCAACCACTAAAATCTATGCAAATACTCCAAAATCCTCAAAACTCTGAAATCTGAATCAGTTATAGTCCCAAGCATGTCAGATGAGGGGATACTCAGCCTGTACTACCACTGCATAACAAACCAGCCATTTCCAGTACTTTATAACTACCTTTCTCCCATTGCTTTAAATACCCTTTATTAGCTGATGACTCCCATATTTGGATCTCTTCCCTTAACCTTTGCTCCAAACTACTTACCCTCTCCACTTCCATATCTAATAAACATCTGAAGTCTAATAAGTATAAAATCTTGATATCCTCACTCCAGACTCCAAAGGCTATTACCTGCATTTACAGGTCTGGTCCCTTATTTCCTTGTCTCGTGTCCTGTCAGACGTCCCCTCGCCCTCAGTGCTTTATCCACACTGGCCTCCTACTGGTCCCTAGAACACCAGGCACATCCGCACTGTGGGGCCTTGCAGGCACTGTGTCCTCTGCTTGGAGTGACATTCCCCAGTTACCTTGGGGCCTGCTCCCTCACTTCTAGTTTCTGTTGGAATGTGACCTTATCAGAGAGGCTTTTTCTGACAACCCTGTGGAAAATAGAATCCCCAGCTGGTCACTCTCTGCTGACCTTGCTTTATTTTTCTTTATAGCATTTATCCTATCTTGACAATAGTTTTGGGGCTTTTTTTAATTGCCATAGTTGTTTTGGTCACAACATTACTCTCTCACTGCCTTCTTTTCTTGCTAATTTTCCACTAAGTTTTGTTGAATAACTTTGTTCTAGACCTATTTGCAGCAGTAAATAAATCGTATTGTTATCCTTCTCCCAGGAAAACAGCATCATCCTAAATGGAACTGTGATGGTCAGCACAACCCGTCTACCCAGTTCCTCCAGTGGAGACCAGTTGGGTAGTGGTGACTGGCTGCGCTACAAGCTCTGCATGTGTGCTGATGGGACTCTCTTCAAAGTGCAAGTAACCAGCCACAACATGGGCTGCCAGATCTCAGACAATCCTTGTGGAAGCACACATTAGAAGAACTCCAGAGGTCATCAGTGTGTTCTTATCTTGACTTGACTTTTTTTTAAGTATGCATGCAAATCATGTTTTTACAGAGTTTGTGATAACTCAACAATCATTTTAATGGAAGGGCACTACTGTATTATGTAGTCTCGATGTTTAAAATATTTTGGCATCTGAATTGTAGTACATTTTATTAAGTTGCACTGATCTTCAAATGATAGCTCCCTAAAATAATTACGAGACGTTAATAAAATCAAAATTAATCTTCAAAGAAGTATTTTTAAAGTTTCCTATCCCTTGTCTAAAGGGTAAATGGCTGAAGCAGTTCTTCAGACTCATTACAAGGGAGCTTTTGGCAATTTAATGGGGATAGATGCAGTAGAGATGTTTAAAAGATGTACCATCCATGTTTCATGTTGTTTTATGGCCTCTAAAAGGAAAGACAGGTTTTTAGTGCATTAATCTTGAGCCATATTCTCCCATGCAAGTGAAGTCACTGAGGAACTTTACATGTGTAAGATAGTAAGAAAGTATGGTTGCTTAGTTTTACACTAAGAAGAAAATACTGTGTTACAGAATGTTTATTTGAAAATGGTAAATACTGAGTTTACAGTGAGGTAGAAATTAAAACACAATCTCGGCTTTAACTTTTAAATAATAATGATAGCTGTCATTTATTGAGCCTCTTCTAATTCCTAGGCATTGTCCTAGACATTGCATGTTTAATATCTAATTCTCATTGCAACTCTGTAATGGTGTTATTGTCCCATTTCTACCCATTAGGAAACTGATGAACAGAGAAGTTAAGCTTGCTTAAAATCACATAGTAAAAAGCCGAATCAGGATTGGGATTCAAATTTTGATGTATGTGATTCCAGATACCGTGTTCTTTTTACTATCTGCACTGAATTCTCAAATTATTTAAAACTCTGGAAAGATTTTTTAAAAAGAGTAATGCAAACTTACCTAAGCAGGTAATAATCAAACAAAATTGGTATGCTACTCTAGTTAGAAGATAAATCTTATGTCAGACAAAAAAAAAAAAAAAAGACCAGTCACTGTTTGCTTAAAGAATTTAAAGTATCTTAGGCCAATTCCAAAGTATTCTGTAGAAAGGTCTACTTGGCCTACTTGTTAATATGCCCATTTTCTACCCAGTGGGCCTTGGCATACTGGAGAGTACCTAGTGGATTACAGAGATGCCAGAATATTTATAGATTCAGCCCTTGGAGCAGTTCAGTGGCAAATGAGGAGGCTGTAGGCTCAGACAAGTCCTGTTGTCCAGAAATGGCCTGATGTGTTTACTCCAATGCCCCACATCAGTATCACACTTTCTAATGTGTGCTGTGTCTAAAAAATTAGTCAGACTGCAGTGTACTAAAAGGTGCTAACGCAGGAGCTAATACAATTTTCAACTAAGTATAAGAATTTATCCCTGCTTCTAACATCACTATCTCATTGTAATTATTTATAAACTGCAGGTCCATTTATTTTTAACATATTTTACATTTCATTTGAAAGGAAAACTCTGGAGATATACACAAGATCAGGGGTAAGGACCTCAAAGTAGATTACTATAAAATAGGAAGTAGAGGCCCAACCTGCACTGAACTATAGCTGTATTCTGCCTTGGTTACTTTAAGTTTCTAGATAGGAAGATCAATGCAAAAGACAATTCACACAATATTGTCACAGTTCTCTCTGATAGAAAAACCTATATGGAATTATGACAATGAAATCCCCTCATATTATAAAAATAAAATTATATTTTATTTTTGATAATTCAAAAGTAAAATAAGAATTTTAAAAATCTATTACCTTAGAGATCAGAAAGTCAGTAAATTATCCTAATGTAAGAATTGACTAAGTACCTAATACTGAGTGCAGTTTTTAAATGCAGAGAGAGGGAGCTTTATGACCTCAAGTATCATTAATTGTAGTGACATTTGAACTCATTTGGATGTACTCAATATCATTAATAGCTGAATGATACTCAGAAAAAAATCATCAGAATTTTTTAGATGCTTAGTAGATTTTTAAGTCGTATATTCATTACTTGTCTGTTCTATTTAAATTTGTTTTAAAAGTTTCTTTAAATATTTTTACTAAACTCACAACACTATATTACAAGGTGTTATTTATTGAATATAACTCATGAAATAATCTATTTTTACTTCTCTTTGAGAAATACTTGTGTTTTTGATACATCTCCATTAAGCACTTTTGACAAGAGAAGATACTTTGATGCTTTTACAGAAACCAGGTTTTAGGATAATCTTTACATAATCTGTGGTTTTTCCACTGAAATGCAGGCCTGGAAAATTCACTGAGAAGCATAAGGAAAGTAAAACACCCATTTTACCTCTGACCTATTCTGATTCACAGTGAAGCTTCAGCCACTCAGTCTCACCACCAGATGGCAGTTTTCCACAAAAGAAAAATTTGCTTCTTTGTGCTGTATGTTCAGTCCCTTGCGTTGACCACGGATAGAACCAGCAGCAGCTCTGGGGAGGTGAATGACATAGGCAGGACCCTGGGAATGGCACAAATTACGTTGGTTTAAAGAACAATATTCTAGACATGATTACAGTGGTGGGGGGACACAAGAAATAAATGCAAGATTTATCAAGATCGACTAATGGGCAGATGGGAAAAATGCAAAACAACACAAAGTAGGGACTGCCTGCAATATTTTTAAAATATTTTAAATATTTACAGTGTTTTTGCTTGTGAAAACAAAAAATAAATTTTGTGTGACAGTTTTAATGATGAGAGGTAGAACTTCTACCTAGTTTTGAATGAGTGTTTTCTAAGGTAGTAAGACTGTTATGGTGCTAAACTTGACAAAGAAGAGACCATTGAAATGCTGATAATTTTAGGAATCTCTTAAAAGCATCAAGAGGACAGAAGTTACAAATTACATACAAAAATAAACCTATAAATCTGTTTCAGATTGATAACTTGAGTTTAAGTTAATTCAGTTTGTAATAATTACTAATGACCTCTTTTTATAATAAAAGTTCTGTAAACTTGTTTGTTGTTAATTTTTTTTAATGGTTAGATATTAAGGGATTTCTCTTGATCACATAAACATAATGAATTTAAGTATGTCTTGAGAATGGGACACCGTCTTTATGTAGTCTCTGGAATCAGGGTTAGAAAGTTGTATGTTCCCAGTTTGGTTAGTCAAACCCTCGGTGCATTACAGATGGCCTCTCCCCAGTGTCTGGGAGGAATGTGCATACTGTCACCCTGGCAAGAGCCTGGAGATGAAAGGGTGAAGGCTTGTCATGAGCTAGTGTGATGGCAGGCTGGGTGGAGCCTCCAGGGCTCAGGTCTGAAATCCCCACCTGACTTGATTCAGCTATAGACCTACTTGAAAACTACCTAAGGATCTTAAGGTATGCCTCAGAAGCAGCGTTAGTTATTACCAAAAGTAGCCTCTTTCCATCTTTTCTTTATAGAAGCATGAATTCTTCATTTCCTTTCTAATGCCTTCTCCCTGTCTCTGTCAGTCTCTGTTTACACATACCTCCAGTATTTCTGCCTCCTCATACTTCAGCTTGAATTTGTCTATTTAAAGGCTTACATTTTATTGTTTCTAGTTTCCTTAGGAACTTCTGGGGTTCTTAGTGATTTCTTACCTAGTACCTATAAATTGGTATGTAATATAAATAAATTTTCTTTATGCATTAATACCTTTCATTTTATAAGAGATTAGCCTTATCTGTTTCAAACTCTCAAGTCTATTCATTATTAATCTCTTCAATTTAAAAATAAGGCAATAAAAATATTTAATTTATGTCCTCTTAATAAAAAGTTTTTCAGCCATATCTTTCTCTTCAGTACTTCAAAGTAATGTGTTATGATGGCTATATTTTTTGCTAATGTTATATTAGCTAGGTGTACAGTTATATAGATAATGATTTTAGCTTTGAATGTAGAAACAAATATCTTTCCTAGTGGCAAATTAATTCCGTTTCTAGTATTGCATTAAGGGCACAGTATAAATCACTCCTCCCAGTTCAGAGCCTTGAATTTAGGTGCCCTTCAAAATATGGGAGAATTGACCTTGTATGAAACAAATGTTTAAAAGTTACATTGTGAATTTCACTTAATGCATTCATTCATGCAAACAGAGCATAGCCTAGTGAGAATATAGACTTAAAATATAAAACATGGAAACATATATGTGTGTGTCATGATCCTTACCATCTTTTAAGATGTTCAAAACAGACACAAAAGTACTAACAGCATAGTATAGCATTGACATCTTGTTAAACTGAATATTACTAGCATGTATTCATTCAATAAATATTGAAAGATTTGTGAAAGGTTAAAGACACAATAGAAGCTAGAGTGGGAAAGAGGGTCTCAAACGATAGACTGAGATGAGTTTGGAAGGATATTAGAATTTAGACTGCAGAGGAAAGGCATTGAGCTTGGAATTGGGAATGAACTAAAAGCTAATTTTAGAATGAGAGACATTGTTTTTTGCTCAGGCCACACCTTGCAGTTATTCCATGTGAACTTAGCAAGTTTAGTTCATAAGGTTAGCTAGATAATGTGAAGCTTTGAATGCCAACCTGAAGAATTTGGACTATAGGCAATAGGAGCCCTTTGACGATTTTGAATGAGGGCAGTACATAAGGAAAATAGTATTATGGGAAAATAGTACCTTGGAATTATCTGGGATTGAGACAAAGTGAAGAGGCAGGAAGATCAGTGAAACCGTTCTAGCATTTCAGACTAGTGATGAAAACTAGAAGGGGTGCTGTTAGGCCAAAAAGGAAGGAACACCTTGTAAACTTGCCATGTAATTATTTGTATATGCATTGCTTTTTTTAAAATAAAATTTACAGTAAATCACAAAAATCCATTTTCTTTTAAAATTTTTGTATATGCATTCAGCCTATCATTTGTATGTACTTGTTTTAAAACTTACAGTCGCTTCTCAAGTATTTTGGTGAAAAAGATAATGTTTCTGTATCTTATTACATCTTCATGGTTCTGAGGCAGAGTGTCCTTTTTTGACTCATTTTATTTACATTGTATGTATTTAAATGATTTGAAAAGTCCTCAAAGCCACAAAGGCAAAGCTTGTTGTTCTTTTGGGTAATAAAAGAAAAATCAAATTGTTTCTTTTGTGAGTTGAACTTTCTACTCTTATGGGCAGTTTACAGTTTAGTATAATTGGATGCCATTCTTATAAACCACGTGGCTGATTATAATGTTCAAGATAAGCACAATAGACTTTGCCCTGTGCTAATGGCCAGTGAAGAAACAGAAACCTTTAATCTGGATAAGTTTGACTCACTCCTAAGCAGGCTGCCAAGTGAATGATACTGGAAAAGCAGATGCCGAGGTGAGGTCTTAGTGAATATGTATTTCCTGAAAAGTCAGGTAGTCCTTTCTTTAAAATGTCACATAAATGTACTTTTATAATACAGCTATATCATTTTGGTATACATTTTAATGCCTTCATTTCTAAGAAATTAAACCTTCACTTAAATTGACAGCCAAATAACTTAAATCTTAAACTGAAAATTAAATTTTTTGCTTCTTAGTTTTTATACAAGTTTTTTTTAAGTCAATTTATTATCTTTTTTCAGGCATTATGAAAAACCACTATTTCAAAGTTATTACCATAGTTATAGGTCTCATCTATCCTGGAACAATGGGAAACCCATCAAGAAAAACCAGGATTTTCTTCGATTCTGAGTACCAGTGGAAAGAAAATCTTCTGGCAAATTGTTCTTCTGTAAAGCATGATACACCTGTGGATGGATCACAGTCAGCAGCCACAGTGGATGTAAGCTTCCATTTCCTTAGCATTCTCTCCCAGTCTCATGTGAGAAAAGAAGAATGGAAAATAAAACATCTGAACCTCAGTAACGATCTCCTATGGAAAATGACCTCATGCCCTCTCACACACTTACACACTTTGGAAGTACTAGACCTCAGCAACAATGCCATCTGCTCCATCTCTTTACATCTGCTCAAGACTCACTCTTCACAGCAGAAGTACCACAGATGGAGCTTCCAAAATGGACTTCCGTTTCTAAAGGTGCTACTTCTTCAAAGAAATAAACTCAGTGACACTCCCAAAGGTAAGTACAGTTTTAAAAGATGGATGAGTCAGAGAAACAAATATTCGGAAAAACTACTTTATGTTAACAAGAATTCTAGATTTGTTTTCAGTTTCAAGGAAGCAGCTGGAATTAGGGCAGGGCAAATACAACAAAAAGGAGTTCTTTTAGTGTCATTGGAAGTTATAATACATGGAATTAATAGTGAATGCAATTTGATTTCCCTTTAGTGCAACTCATTACATTAATTTGTTGGGAGACACTAGGAAGTATTTAAGTGTTAAATTATAGTGTATGATTTTAAGTCATCTGTTTTGTCAGATATTTCTTAATATGCAAAAGCACTGAGAAATGACTAGATACTAACATGTAACAATTCAAATTACATATGTTCCCATATTGATAATTTTTGTCCTTGGAATACATTTTGCCTCTTCTTAATCTAGTTGTGCTTCATACATATACAGAAATATGCCAATAGTAGGTATTAGTAAGTAAACATCTCTTATCAAATCAGAATCAGAACATATTAGAGTTCCTTTCCTGATATGCTAAGTTTTATTTAGAAACTATGTCAGGTTCATAAAGCAAAATTTCCTTTGCCCCTTTTGTATTCTGTAGTACTAGACAGTTCCTTTTCCTTGTGTGTGTTCAGTCTTGCTCACTACTTGCTAAGCACCTACTTTATGTAAGACATTATGCTTTAAGAAAAATAAGGATGTTGTCTGCTTTCTCCATCCCAAATTATTTCTACTTAGTTTTTCTCATTTTTCAGTTCTTAGTGTTCATCTTTTTTTTTCTCCCTCCCCAGCTTCTAACCTTGTTCTAAGCATCTTTTTTGGCAGTAATAGACCCCAGGTAGAGCATGACTACTGCAGTTAGTTAGTAGACTGCATGCAGAGGCCAGGAGTCTCCTCTTTCTGAACCTTTTCCGTAAAAACAATGTGTAGTATTTTCAGTGCCGTGTGTCAACTAGTTAGATTTTATTTTATAATTTCTATTTCACTGCTCATATTACAGAAGCAATACCTGCTATTTATAGAATTTTAGAAATCAAAGAAAAGGAAAAATTGAAATCATTCATGTCATGTACATCCTTCAAGTTTACTATTTAGGTCTATATATTTTTCTTCTAAAATTTGATAATACTGTTCATTATATTTCATAATTTATATTTTTATATCAGAATTTTTTTATTTTTTATATAATTGAGCAATCTTATAGAATTTTTAAAATAAATAGTTTTCATATATACATATGTCATAATTGGTTTAATCAAACATTCAGGTTTTTTCTTTTTTCTTGATGAACATCATTGTAGTTACACACATCCTTATGGGAGAACATATTTTTAATTAGTATGTATGAATCTCACTACACAAGTTCAAGTGTCCTAGAGATACAGCCTTTCATTATCTAGAACAACATAATTTCTGATTCTGAGACCCCATGATTACCTTTCATTGGCACTCTCTGATTTTTCACAGATTTGTACCACAGCTATAGAATTCTATGCTGACAAGGTTATCACCTTGTCAAGGTGTGCATGCATGTGTGTCTGTATCCCTTACCCACTGCTGCCCAGAGAACATTTCAGTTAGGAGAAAATTTCTTTCCCTTTATATTTCTTCAAAACCTCGTATGTCTACAAATTCCTTTCCGCTACAGATTTATGACTTGTAGATCCTACTGCCTTTTGCCTTGCCATGTGTCTCTCTGGGATAGTGAACACAGAGCCTACTTTCTACCTGAATAAAGAAAGAGAGAGGACAATATAAAGAAGAAAAATACAAGATTAATATGACAAAATATTATCACACCATAGAATAAAGAGAAAGTGCTGAGCCTCTCTCTTGCACCTGTATTCTGAGCTAATTGCAGTGATGGCTAATACAGTTCCACTTCTGGGCCAAATATCTCAATATATGTAAGTTAAACGTAAGTTTTAAGTTAAACTTTTGCCTCCCAGAATTTCAGGTAAAATGTTAAACTTGCATAGGAGGAAAAAGAAAAGAAGAAATGATCAACTCCTACATCTGAAATTCTGTTGCAATTCTTTTTTCTTTGTTTATTCATTTATTCACATGTGCATACATTGTTTGGGTCATTTCTGCTCCCTGCCCCCTGCTCCCACCTCTCCCCCGTTGCTACCAGGCAGAACCTGTTCTGCGCTTTTCTCCAGTTCCGTAACAAATGAGACAGACCATTGAGACAGGAATAAGGGACACTGAAGTCTTAATGGAAGCTATGGATCTAATCAGATATAATCCAGAGTCCTTTTATCCAGGCATTTTATAATTTGAATTGATTCCTATAATCATTATACACTTGAAGTTTTTCCTAGGTTAAATCTCCTTCCAACATCACTTCCCACTTTATGATTGTGTGCCTGTGGCTGGGTTACTGACCTTGAAATCCTATTGTGGAAAGAAATGGCTGGTAAGAAAGAGGTGCTGCCTGGGGTACCATACTACTTCTGGCTATTCCTTTGCTCTTCTTTGATTCCTTTACTCTGAATCTGTTGAAAGGTAGCATCTGGATAATGCAGATGTGACTCAACTTACAATGGGCTCACATCCCCATAAACCCATCATAAATTAAAGATATCATAAGCCAAAAATGCATTTAAATACACTGAGCCTGTGCCTCTGAACATCATAGCTTGGCCTAGCCTTCCTGAGATATGCTCAGAACACTTACATTAGCCTACAGTTGGGAAAAATCATGTAACAAAGCCTGTTTTATAATAAAATGTTGGATATCTCATGTATTTTAATGAATGCTGTACTGAAATGAAAAAATAATGGTTGTATGGGCACTCTTTCACACCATGGTGAAGTAAGTCACAAAATCTTAGGTTGACCTGTCATTAATCAGAGACTGTATAAGATGTATTCATAGAATTGTGAGCATTAAATGAAAAATGTACCTCAAGAACCTAGTTTATCACACTATCTGCCATAATAAATGGTAGCAATTAAAATATGTAGAAATTGCTTTGTAAACGTAAAAGTGCTCTGCAAAGCATTCATTTTTATTACTCTCTAAGCACAAATTGAGAATAAACTGTATACTTAGAAGCAAATAATTAATTTGTTTTTCTCTAAATCAAGTTATATTTTAAAATGCTAAATAACTATTGCTGTGGGTGGGATTCATAGCCCACTACAATTCATGAGCACATCTGTGTCTGTTTACATATGCTTGCATTTATCTAAAATAATAATGGACTAGTGATATTAGTGATATCTCCAAAGGCAGTACTCAGGCACCTAGCCATGTAGCACATGCATGCCTTTATAACTTGTGTTTTTAAATGTTTACATAACATTTTATAAAACATGTTTTAAATGTTTATAGAACATTCAGAAAGGTCCATTTTTATAAGGGTGGAACATCACATTAACTAACCTATTGTCAAATAATCTGTGTTCAGAGTCAACTCTAATGTCACCAATAAGCTTTGTCTTGGGAAAACACTCAGGTGTGGTACTGGTCAATGCAAGTTACAAAACAGAAGCCAGACATGAATTTAACCTTAATGATGATTCTACCTTCCACTGATAATTTGGAGTACAACATTAACAGCTAAAAGTGTCAGTGAGTTAGATTTCCTTCCTTCCTTTTTTTTTTTTTGGCAATACTGGGGATTGAACTCAGGGCCTCCTGCTTGCTAGGCAGGTACTCTACCATTTCAGCCATGCCTCCAACTCTTTTTGCTCTTGTTGTTTTGGAGATAGGGTCTTGCTTTTTGCCAATGCTGACCTGGACAACGATCATCCTATTTTATGCTTCCTGCCATCTAGGGTGTCAGGTGCATAGCACCACACCCAGCTCTTTTCCATTGAGATGGGGTCATGCATACCTTTCTGCCAGGGCTGGCCAGGAGCCATGATCCTCCTGATCTTAGCCTCGCACTATCTTGGGTGACAGACACATGCTGCTGCACTCAGCTATTGGTTGAGATGGGGATCTTGTGAAGTTTTCGCATGGGCTGGCCTGGACTTGTGATCCTCCTCATCTCAACCTCCCAAGTTGCTAGGGTTACAGGGGTAATCACTTTTCTGTTACCTGAGATAATCAGCTTTAAAAGAGGAAAGGTATATTTTGGCTCTCAATTTTGAGTACATGTCAGGTAGCCCTGTTGCTTTGGGGCCTATGTTGAAACAGCACATCAGGATGACAGCATGTGGTAAAGGAAACTGCTCACCTCATGACAGCGGGGAAATGAAGAGCAAGACCTTCTCCCATAATCTCCTTCCCAGGCTCCCAGTAACCTGATACCTCTGTTAAGAGGCCACCTCTTAAAAGTTCTGCCACTTTTCAATAATGCCAACCTGGGAACTAAGGCTTTAACATATGGACTCTTTGTGGAGATGCTTATCCAAGCTATAGATAGCAGTTTTCTCAAAAAAATTAAAACAAGGGAATCACTCTGTAGTTAAAGTGTCCCACCTCCATCCAGCAGTACCTGGAAATGTACTGGGACCTAAGAAGATACTGAAGTATCCTCTCATTAACTCACCAAGTTCCAGAACTCAAGGTATAAATATATTGGAAAGTAGATGAAATAATAATGACATTTGAAATTAGTAGAATTTTAACAAAGAAATAATGTGTGTTAAAAAACAAAGCTAATATTTTTTCATAGGGAATTAAATGTTTCATCTTGGCTGCCATTAGATTTAGAGATACAAATAATCAGTGATATCAGAATCAATTCAGAAGAAACAAAATGTATGTAAAACAAAGCTAAGAGGGCAAGTCTTTGACTCACCTGTATCATTAAGCACAATAGTGACCCAATGAATAAGATATCCAGGACCTCTCTAGATTCTATTCAGTCCTTAATACTCTTTGAACTAAAATCTGTAACTCCAGAATACCATTGTTTTATATTACCAGATTATCATGTTTGGGAAAGCATTAAGAAGTTCACAGTCCAAAGGAAGTATTTACTAAGGTGGAGTAATGTCTGGGTATTCTCTCCTTGCCCTTTTTTAAATTGACCCTGAGATAAT